GGTGACTCCTCCTCAGAACAGATTTTCTCTTCACAGATGCTGCCAGACCTGCTGAGCTTTTCCAGCAACTTCTGTTTTTGTTCCTGATTTACAGCATCCGCACTTCTTCCGGTCGATGTTCTACTGGGAACCGTGTTGGGGCCTCAAATACTTGCCATATTTACTAATGACATATGATGAGATACAAAGTCACAGTCCAACTCTGCTGGTGACAAAAAACGTAGGTGGTATTGAAAGCAATGTAATGGAAATATGAAATTAAAGAGAGATGTTAAATTGACAAAGTGATAGGGCAAAGCTGTGACAGGTACATTTCAATGTAGGCAAGTCTGGACTAAGAAAGGATAGATAAAAGCTTTTTCTAATTGATTAAAATCTAGAATCAGTACAGATCCAAAGAGACTTGGGGGTCCATAAACATTTATTATTCAAACGCTGAGGACAGATAGAGAAAACAATCAAAGAGACTGATAGAATTCTGGATTTATATATAGTGGATAAGAACATAAGTGGGCAGAAGTTATGTAACTGCTATACAAAGTCATAGTTAGTCCATACCTGGAATTGCTGTAAGCAGTTCTGGGCATCCTACCTGAGAAGGAATATATCGACATTGGAGTGAATCCAGTGGTATCTAGACTGAAAGGACTAAATCATAAGGAGAAAATATGCAAACTAAGGTTGCATTTCCTAGATTTTAGAAAGTTAAAAGATGGTTTGAAGATTTCAAGATATAAAGCGTAACTGATAGGCTAGTGAAGATAAATAATTTCTACTGGTTGAGGTGTCTGGGACGAGGAGGTACGGCTTAAACATTAGACTCAGGCCTTTCAGAAGTGACGTTAGTAATACAAAACCGCATGAAAAGTGTGGCAGAAGTCTGGAATTCTCTTTTGCTAATGGAAATTGGTGAAATTATTTTAAATATGAGATTAACCAGAATAATTTGATTAATCAGAATTACTAGAGGATATGGGATACTAAGTAATCCACAGTTTGGTTTCAATGAAATTCCACAGATTGAAGAATCAATTCAAAAATGGTTACATTCAGTTTCCGCTTTTTCTCTGTTTCTACAAACAGTTACATATAAAACTAGTTGAGAACTTTCATCAAGAATCACTAAATGACTCTAATTGTAAAACACCAACTCTGGCATTAACTATCTGCCTCCGCTGCCAGAGTGATGAGATTCACCCACATCTCTGAACTGAACATGTGTCTCTTCATCGTGACCCTTCTTCATAACTGTTCCTTTCTATCTTACTGCATTTCAGTATTAATCTTGATCTGTGGGTATTTCTATATGTCTTATTTTGTCTATGCTGATGGAAAAGGTAATCTATTTTCAGGAAGCTCTGTATTGTTTATTGAATTATAAAAAACGCACAGCAGCACAGAGGAATCAATTTCCAGATTTTTCTCCTCTCCCATCAAAGTTGAGGAGGGACTGTTACTTTCAGTCTGTGATGGACTATTCCCACAACAGCTCAGGTCCCACAGGCAGGATTTACATTGATTTTCATTCAGCTCCAAGCACCAATATTTCTTTTTCTGAGCACAAGCCAGACAACCTTTACTCACCACCAGCACATAAATCAGCTCCACTTGAGCCAGACACTCTTTCACTAACTGCAGTACATTAAATATGTAAAGCATACATTTAGTTTCCGTATATGAGAGTTCAACTTGAGGAAAGGCTTGACTGAAGATACATTCTTTGTAAGTTGTAAGGTTATGCACATCTTTCCTCAAGTATATGTGTCACACAGCCTCATAACAACATAATACAACAACATGTTGTAGACAGATGAGAGGTCTCAGTGGTGTCCTTCCAGCACACAATAACACAATCAACTAAATCAATTGGTCTCTCATTTCATCTTATTTACATGTTACATCTTTCATATCACATCACTGTTTGATGATTTGATGGAATACAACAATAGGAAATACAATAATGTAACTTTAAGTGCTGCCCAGTTTTATAAAAATAACTATTATATAGGTTATTTATGTGTGAAACTTTTAACCAGCTTTTTCCTTCATTAAGAAATGTACTGAATTTTTAAGCCATCACTTTTGCGATTGCTGTAGAGGATTGGGATAATGTGTTTGTTACGAGGACATGGGAATGTAAAGAAGGCCAAGGAATTTGTCTTCATTAGTTGAGAAGGTTTCATGTATCAGTCAGCAGTTGTTGCAGCTATTTTACCTTTTAGCCAAAGAGTTATATGTATTGAGCACCATGTCCCGTGGTCTAACCTTTCTACATAAGAATCTAGATAATGCAAGTGATGCATTGCTCTTTGTTCTTTACGTTTTGTCCAGTCACACTTGTAGATTTAATTTTCTACTTGAATTTGACTAGTCTCCTTCTCATCCTAGTCACACTGGTATTTCTGCCAGAACACACAATAAATGCATAATACATAGGCAGAACTATAGATAAACATGTCGAAATCAGCTGCTTTAGTAAGAGAAAATGAGTTGGCTCTAAAATGCCTGAACACCTCCTTCCAAGTCCTTTACCTATCCAACATCCATGGCCCTGGCAAAGACATGGGCTTGTTTCAGCACAGCTGATCCATTTTCAATTTCTTGTGGTCCCTATTATCAGCTTTTCTCCTTCCCTGGTTTTCTATTTACCATTTACTATCCCTTCACTTGCCTAGCATTCTTTCACACTCTCCCTGGGCCCTGTCTCCACTTATCTACTCACTCCTTGTTCCTCACACTCTCCATCATCAGCAATAAATACCACCTTTTCCCAGCCACTATCAGTTCTGAAGAAGGGTCACTAGACTCAAAATGTTAACTCTTCACCGATGGTGGCCAGACCTGCTGAGTATCTCCAGCAATTTCTGTTTTTGTTTCAGATCTTTAGCATCCACAATTCTTTGCTTAATTTTTTGTAAGTCTTTACTTCCTCATCTTCGTTCTGTATTCACTCCATTTACTAAATTAAGTGAGGAAGCGTGAAACAAAATGCCATTACTTGTTTGCAAACAAGAAAAGGCCATTCAGCCCCTCAAACCTATTTTACCATTAGGTCAAATCATGACTGCTTTGCGTCCTAACTCCACCTACCTGCGTTGGGTGTGTAACTCATAATGCACTTGCCTAACAACAATCTACCATTCTCAAATTTCAATTTACCAACTTTAATAGTCTTGAGAAGAAGACAGTTCTAGATTACCACTCTATTTTGTGTGAAGAAATGCTTTACAAAACTTGCCCTCAAGTAATCTTGTGTTATTTCAGAATTATGTCCCTTGTTTGGAGCTATTCCATTACAGTTGCAGGAAACTATTTCCTCACTACCTCCTCTTTATCGACTCCTTTAATTATCTGATAGACCTCAGCTAGATTATTCCATCATCTCACCTAATGTTTCCTAAAAGTTGTCAAAAAATGCAAATAAGCTTCAACCAAACCCTAATCTCAGAAATGCTAATTTGCATTCTTTATCTGTAATCCTTTGTCATGAATTTACCCAGATAGTATTCCCTCTGATGGCAATTTTGTCCTTGGATTTCCTCCTGCTGGGTGGGTGGATTGGGGGGGGTGGGAGGGGGAGCTGCGGGGGGGGGGGGGGGCGGGGGGGGCAGGGGCGGGGGGTGCTGGTAGTGGTGGTGGTGAAGAAGGGTCCAGACCCGAAACGTCAGCTTTCCTGCTCCTCTGATGCTGCTTGGCCAGCTGTGTTCATCCAGCTCTACACCTTGTTATTTCCTGCTGCTGGTGCTGGTTTCCAACCAGAGGTTCAATACCTTATTTATTGTAAACCATCGTTTATTCAGACCTTTCCATAATTCTCAGAGAGAAAGTCAACATCAGCGTTTGCATCTGGGCTGCGTTTGAATTTTTAATTAACTGAAGAATGAGAGGACTCAGCAACACAATCAATTTCCTAGAGTTGATCTACACGCTACTGCATTGAATTCCCTGAATTCATAACTTTTCAAATAAAAGATTAGGAAACTCAACCTGCTTACCTCATACAATAAACAGCCAAGTGACCAGATATCTGATTTGAAGTTATAACCATTTTCATGTATTCTCTCTGGGGACATATAGTATGGTGTTCCAACTGTAATTTAAACAAAATCACAGAACATTATGGCACTCTCTTTTATTATCAATAGATTAAACACTGCACAGAACAAGTTTTACCAAACGCTGTTGATAAATGATAATGGGTCTAATTTAACCCATTGTAAACTATCATCTTTCCAATGTACATTTTTAAAATGTGTGCATTGCAGGATATCACTAGTCCCAGGATAACAATGAGAGAAGCTCAATTGTTTATCAATTCCAGTTTGGAGAATATTATCAGTTGTATAGAAGGTAGGCTCCAGTCATTACATCCTTAAAACATGCCATGTGGATTCATAAAAAGACATCTTGAATTTAATTATGACAAGAATTGAATCTAAATCCTACATAAACACAGTCAAAGCTACTGTTCTAAGCCTACCAGATATCTCTGATATGCTATTTGAAGTAGTTCTCAGTGGTTTTACTGTAAAGTAGGATGACATAAAGAGATCTGCACACCCTGCCTCACTGCAGACAAAGGTTTGCTGCCCTGTAGATGGAGCTAGAGAAAACTCTTTGGCATTAAAGAAATGAGGAATGGAGAAGGCGTGGAGAATATTAGTTTGGATTCCAGAAGATGTTGAAAATTTATGAAGGAGTTTCTAGTTAATAAACATTATGAAACAATAAGAAATTCTTTAATTAATTCCTAGTATCTTCAACAAACACCAGAAGATTAAATTAAAAATGACCAATTGACGTTTGTGTGCTTCGCATCTTGTTTCACCATTCTGCCCTGGCATTGTAATTCTAGTGAGAGGTGTATGCTTTGCTTATGATAGTGACTGGTTTTCTTTCAAAGTAAAAATACTTAATATAAGTCTTACAAGTTCAGCATGATTGAGCCAGGATGACACAGCTCCTGAATTTCTCCTGTGGAATAACTGTACACATGATTGATTAATATAGTGTCTGAAATGCTTCTCTTTGATATTTACATGGTGTTAAACCACATATTTGAAAAGGATTATCACCTCAATCAAGGCAGGAAGGAATCTCAGACAAATACATTAAATGTTTGCTTCCTATTACTCCACAATGTAATTCCAAGGTCTCAGCACACTGTTACAGTCTTGTGACTTGAATTACAGACATTTTTGCTGGGTGACCAAATTTGTCATTTAGGTCACCGCTCATTGAATAGCAAAGAAACAGAATTACTCCCTTTGAAGGAGGATGTTCAGAGGCTTGGCCCAGTAACACTGATTATTACCTTCTTCCCATTTTTCTGATGTGGTCTAAAAATGTAGTTAATATTATTCCACATTATAGTGAAACGTGTCTCATTGAGAACACTAGAATCAAATTTATAAACTTCTATCCATTTTGGTGAAACATAGTACATCAAATAGCTTGTTTCAAAGTAGTGGGAAGACGATACTGATACATCGGGGGTCAATGAAGATTTGAGAGAGCATCAAAGAAAGTAGCTAAGACATGATTGAAATGGTATGGTCATCTTGTAGGGTGAGAGAGAGAGAGACAGGAAATGTGGTGAGATGAGTGATGGATACAGTACTACCAAGAAGAAGGAGGACCGAAAGGCCAAACACAAAATAGCAAAGAGCAACAGTGAGAAACTTAAACACATTGGTATTAGAATAAAAATGGATGACTGACAGGAGATATAGAGAAGGTAATCAGCCAGCACTATAGTGACGTCATGTGAATGGAAGAAACTGAAAGAAGAATATATATTTAACTGAGCTGCATATCTGATAAAGTGAATCAGACTGTTAAAAGTCTGCTGGAGTGTCTAAATCTGAACTCATCAATTGTATTTTTTTAGTTCTGTGAATTAACTGCCGCTAGCAAGCAATTTCCAAAAATATCCACCACCGGAGGGAAATGTGCAGTTTATCAGAGCTTCTTTAATTCATGAATAAAACCCTCACAGCCAGGAGGCCCAGCAGGATAATAAGCTTCTTGGGCTTAAGATTTGGATGTTGAAGGTATCTCATATTGTAACATAGCAGCTATTTGAGCTAACGTATCTGCATTTCAGCTGCATTGGATGTAAATGCAGAAGAAGATAGTGATCCCCTTTGCAGACACAATTTCCAACATGCAATAGGATAGCATAAAGAGAGGTGTATTTTGAACTGGAACAGCAAAATGTCTGTAATTCAAGTCACAAGACCATAACAGTCCACTGAGGCCTTGGAATTAACATTGAGAGATAACAGGAAGCAAATACTTAGTGTATTTGTCTGAAATTCTTTTCTCTCTTGATAGAGGTGATAAATTTCTTTTAAAATGATGGGTTAACAGCAAGTAAATAGCAAAAAAAAATGCATTTCATACACCATATTAATCAGTCACTCCCCATTGTATGAAAGGTAAATCACACTGGGTGCTAAGTAAACAACTCTTAGGTACAGCAGCAATTCCACCTTGCACAAAATTGTTTGACAAAGCACATTTTATAATAGGGAGGATTGCAATTGGCAAGAATGATTACTTATGTGAAGTGTAAACACATACACAATATATAAAAACATTACTTGTGAAATATGCAATTTATTAACTGCTAAAATAGCACACTTTGTCATCTTGCTCATCAGCACAATTCACAAGAATACCAATTTAAGGAGGAAATTAAAATTTATACTGTATGCGAAGGCAGTGCTGATTGGTGGGCTAGTGGAAGTATTGTGAGAATGCACTATTTAATGATGATTGAGAGGTAAATGCAAAACTTTGTTAAAGTTTATAAACTGGGCAGGTTGACGAATTGGTCAAGGCATTGCCTTGAAAATTGAACCAGAAAAAAGTTGACACCTATTTTGTTAAGTTGTTGTTGCCCCTGTGCGCTCTCATAAGCCTCAAGTGTTTCCATAACATTGGATATGAGTTGGGATTCTGAACAGATGATAAAATAGGGTATCAGAAATTGTTCTTCCAGGAAGAAATAATGCTAAAAGATTTCATGATATCCAGAATTCTTAGTAGGAAAAAGATATTAACCTCCATGTCCCTAGGCCAGTGAATGTAATGAGAGAAGTAAGAGACAGCAGAGAGAGCAAAACTTAAAGATAAGTCAAGGGTATAAACTGTTGACTTCACTTGAGCTCAGTTCCTCACAGCACAAAAGCAAGGGCTAATAGTGTTTAGTACATTGCGGGTTAAGCTTAGAGTTCAAAGCTTTTCCTAGTGATATGGAAAGGGATTTTCTAAATTATAACTTCCTATGAAAAATATCACCAAACATGAACACTAGACTGCCAGTACTTAGAATAATTGAACTACAGCCAAACAATGCACTGTGTATTGCATGTGTTACTACAGAGCTTATAGGTTCCAATCAACATCATGCTGATCACCTGTAATCTACATTATTTTGATATACTTACAATATTTAACATAGGTAATATTACAAGAAAACTGACAGTTTAGCAAAAGTAGTCTATAAAATATGGATGGAACTACACCTAATGCTCTTTTACAACAAACAATGAAAACCAAACCAGTGGTCAGTTTTATAAATTGGATACAGATGATTTTTTTTTCAAATTCTTGGTTCATTGAATGAGAAATCTGCATCTGAGACTGAAATCCATGTTTCTCTCTTTCATGTTATTACAGACTTGTTTGGTTGGCCAGAGAAGGCTTTGTTCAATTTGAAATTGTCGCCTTGAATAATCCCTGAAAATGGCCTTAGATCAAAGCAGTTTGACAGGGTTTATAATGCGGATGAGTGCGCCCCATGCTTTACTTGAGATTTGTGCATTAGGCTGTTCAAGTTTATAACGTAGGTTTTCAGAACAGCCTACGTCCACTTCTGAGTTCTTTGAACACCCACTGTCCAGCAAAGGTTGGCTTAACTGTTTGGACAATAGTGCCTCTACATTTTATGGAGAAATGTTAATTTTGAAGTAAGTGTCCTAATAAAAGAATGACAAGCCACATCTCTTTCATAACCCATCCAACATAATGTGGGGATCCCTGATAATGAGCTTGTTCTTGCAAAATGCACAAGACTTCCAATTTAATCATCTTGGGCCTACAAATGCACCACATTAGTCAATATGACAAGGTTAGCATTTCAAAGAGTATTATTAATAAAGAAATTGTTCAAGTATAATGTTCTTTGCAGCAATTAAACTGCAGTTGGTAAAGGCACTGAAACAGAATGTGTGTTATGAAACTGTCCAGAACCAGCAAAATCTCCTTCCTCTAACAGGCGTGGTTGCTTTTTTCATTATTTTATGTCTTCTGACTGTTTAATTTGCTTCTAAAAATCCTGTAAAACTACAAATCAAATTGCTATGGCCTTAGGAGACAGATACAGTTATGATTCGTTAATCGGACCACATTTGTCATGTTAACATTTTTGCTGGCTAAACAAGACTGCTTTTGTTAGTGAGTCACATTTACACATGAAAAAAATACATTTTCTTTGCAAACCACATCAGATTATTCAAGCCTCGAGATTGGTAAGTATCCAGAAGAACCATTTTTAACAAATAAATTGCTACCACAAAGGAGAGTGGCAACTGTCACTAAAATAAAACAGTAGAAGTCCCCCTGAGTGATTGAAGCTGCTACATGTTAAACTGTCATGTTCCTCAGACAAATTATAATGTTAAAATTAATCCGGTCTTTAATTTGAGCATAGGAAGCCAATGCATAGGACACAAATTTATGTTCAAATTATTCCCAAGACTATTACCTCCAAGAGTGTTTAAATTGTTTACTACCCATCAAACGTAATTAGTACAAATCACCATTTGATAATGAGAATGTTTATCATCGAACTTTTCCCCTGAAGATGGCTGGGTTCTTTAGATTCATTTTCCTACGTTTTTGGTGAGGTGTGTTGAATTAGTGTTCCATTTAGCTTTTGCTGGGGACACTGCTGAGGTGCATTGTTGGTTTTTTTTAAAAGATCTGTTGCAATGGTGCCATGCTGAACTGGGCCCAAGATCTTCAATTCACCAGAATTATCCTCACTCCACAATTAAACACCAATTAACATTGCAAAAATAT